CGGAAGAAGCACATATTTAAACTTGCTCAGGGAGAATATATTGCGCCCGAGATGATTGAGAACATCTACATCCGGAGTGAGCCTATTGCACAAGTGTATGTCCATGGGGACAGCTTAAAGGTGAGTCCCCTAGGCCTCAGCCCTCCCACACATACTTTGGGCCTGATGAGTACTCTGGGAATGATTTTCTAAGTAACTGGTATTTGATTAAAGTGATGAACATTAATTTCCAGTCAGATACTGGTATTCTCTGGCGTATAGGATCATGAGAGAAAATGCCTTTCTAAGGGAGAAATCTTAATTGCTTATAGTTTGGTAAATTGCAGTTAGGTAAATAAGTTGCTTAAAGTAGTAGTAATAACATTCCCACTACTTTTAACTTATGCTCTGTCTACTTCCAAGAGGAATTTTGAGGTAATATGCTGAAGCAAGATTCAGGGTTTCTGCTGTTTTGATTTTGAAATACACATAAGAACTTTACAGATAAATAGGTGCAGTATTATAAATAATGATACTGATGATATATCTTAATATATTAAGCTAATGTGCTAATATAGTACAGGATTAAATTATTTGAAGAGGATTTATATTTATTCTGCTTTCTGGTATCATTTAGATCTGAAGTCAGAAAGATCACTGTGAATATATTCTGTGCTATCATTGGATTTATGTAATTAAAGACTTAAATTATTTTTTAAGAAAATGATTTAAAAATTAAAATGGTGTTCTTAAAGAATGAGGACCATACTAATGAATCAATTTCAAAATGGTCTGGAAATCCTTAGAAATGTATGTGTTTTGGATTGTAGAGTTGGTTGATTAGTATCCTAAAGATGTACTCATTTAAGATTGGCATGAGAATCAAAGGTACATACAGGACTAACCTTACTAATTCCTAATCTTCTTAAGCTTATCTTTTATTAATAACTTTTTACGAAGTTAGGGAAATATATCAGAAATAATCAAGAATATTTCTGTCAAGAATGTGTGATATGTTGGTGGAAATGTTTCATAACATAAACATATACATATTTTTAGAAAAGAGTAGAGTCTGAGAATACCAAGAGATTAGTTTTAATGCTGGACCACAAATAACCACTTTAAAAGCTTTTGTCATAACTGTGTTTTCCTTTGGTGGGATCGCAGGCCTTTTTGGTGGGCATTGTCGTGCCCGACCCAGAAGTCATGCCCTCTTGGGCCCAGAAGAGAGGAATTGAAGGGACGTATGCAGAGCTCTGCACAAATAAGGTCTGTACCTTGGGGCTGTTCCCCAAAAGACTGCTGGACCTTCTGTGATACTGCATAATGAGAGGACGTACAAAAACAGTAGCCCAAGTGAAATTTGAACCTATAGGGAAATTTCTAACTTTATTTTATAAATGGTGGGAATCCTAAACCAGAGGTTTGTCTTTTGTCATTGTTGTAGAAGGAGCTCATATCTCTTCTTAGAACACTTGATAAACTATTGAATTTTCCAGCCAGGAGACATCAGAGAAAGCTTGTCCAGCCCTGTTGTTTTGCAGCTTGCAGGAGAGTCCAGAGAGGGAGGCGGCTTGCCCAAAGCCCCACAGCTGGTTAACAGCAGTGTCAGATGTGAGAATAGGCCTTCTGACTCACTGGCCCTGCTCTCTCCTAATGTGAGGTAGCTTTTATATCTACTGGACTTAGAGAGACAGTCATGGAATTGAAAAAGGAGCACAGTTCTCCCTGCTTAGAACATTTGCCACTCACACCTTCCGGAAGCCTTCTCCTGGCACATGTACTGTGCCAGGATCTCTGTGCCCTGACTCAGAGGATCTCTGTGCCCTGACTCAGCATCGGCCCCTCAGTCACATGATCTGTTTCTTAGCAGCAGCCATGAACCCTAGAGCTCCCACCAGGCCCTGGGCTCTTCTGGGGGTGACAGGGCCCCTGAGACTCACTAGGCTGACCAGAGGTCTGCTTTAAAAAACAAAATTGAGTGGTCCCTTAGCCTGTTGTTGGACACTCCTTAGGCCATGCGGGCACTTACTTGCCAGATGAGGGATGGTGATTGGCTTGCTGCCAGGGAGCATCAGCCCTAGTTGGGGGTTTGAAAGGTGGGGGGTGAGTATGATTGCCAGTTGTACTTTGCTCACAACTCATTGCTTCTTCTATCTCCATTTTGAAATGTGTTTTTGCCTTGTAATTTTACCTATATGGTTCAATTCAGGAGCTGAGGAAAGCCATTTTGGAAGATATGGTGAGGTTAGGAAAAGAAGGTGGACTCCATTCTTTTGAACAGGTAACTGTTACCTTCTCCATACTTGTTACTGCCCTTTATGCAGGGATGAGAATTAAAGTAACCAACAGTGACCCTGACCTAGATTCCCTATCCTCCACGCTGTGGCCTGCAGGCAGGCTGTGTACCAATGGACCCTGAAGGCGTGTTCTAAGCTGACTTTGCAACAGCCTGCATCCTAACTAAAATCGGTAGTATGCTGAGTGAGACTGTGCTTATTGTCCTCATAATCACAGATGTTCATAAAGCTGAAATATTACCCTAGCCATAACTGGTAGAGCACATCTACATGGTGTGTCTCCAAGCTGCGTGCAGTACTCAAGACCAGAGTCCTGTCTTATTTTTATTTTTATGGGGACTGTCTTCTTGGCTGCAGCAGGCAAACTTACTTGCTAGGACATCAGAAAGATTGCACTCCTGGGGCCAGTGATCTGTCAGCCCAGGATGCCCTGAACAAAGAGGAGGAAACAAAGAGTGTGTTGGGAGTGGACACAGCAGACCTCTAAGACTTTCCGTCTTTGCAAGGTTGGGGTTCTTTTTTGTAACTGAGTTCATAAGCGTACTTGGTCCTACTTACACATGCCATTTATAATCCTCTTTAGTCACAAATTCAAAAAGAAAAATTCTTCAAACAGAAAAATATTAATATGCTGTTTTTAAAAATTTCCTAGTATGTATTTAATATAATTGTTTTTCATAAAATGGTTCTCCAACAGTGTCCCCAAATATAGTATTAAGGATCTGCAAGGTTTATGAGAATTTTAAATTTTATCTGTTCTTTTTTTTTTTAATATAAATTTATTTATTTATTTATTTTTGGCTGTGTTGGGTCTTCGTTGCTGCGCACGGGCTTTCTCTAGTTGCGGCGAGCGGGGTCTACTCTTCTTTGTGGTGCACAGGCTTCTCATTGAGGTGGCTTCTCTTGTTGCAGAGCATGGGCTCTGGGGCACTTAGGTTCAGTAGTTGTGGCACACAGGCTCAGTAGTTGTGGCTCACGGGCTTAGTTGCTCTGCGGCATGTGGGATCTTCCTGGACCAGGGCTTGAACCCGTGTCTCCTGCATTGGCAGGCAGATTCTCAACTACTGCGCCACCAGGGAAGCCCCTTTATATATGTTCGGTTTGATGTTAACCTAAAAACATTTTTAAACTGGTTTTAAATATAAACTCTTACAGCAGTTGTTTGACAATTAGAAAACATTTCCACAGATTAAGACTTTTAATTTCTTAAGTTTCAAAGTGAGGAAATCTAAATATAGTTTCAGGGTTTGAGGGAATTGTTTTTCTTTTGAAATGGATCTTTACATTAATCTAGCTTGAGAGAAACTGCTTTACCCTCATCCATCAGTGTGTTTTAGGGCAAATAAGGCCTGGATGAATAAATCCTTATTTTAAAAAATTATAAAATCTGAGGTATTCAGGCAAGTCATATTTATCTTTCTGAATGCTAGGTCATTTCTGGCATGATAATTAAATTTCTAAATTTGCTAAAACTGACTTCATTGCTCTTCCATTACGGGGAGCTGTGAGATTGTAGATGTGATCCTGTAGAGCAGGCACCACAAATGAGTGGTTGGAGACCTGGTTGATCTGGGCTCCCTATTACCTGAATGGATGGCTGTAAGGGCACTGGGGGTGCACTGGGGATCCTGCGGATACCCTTGTGATTCCCAAGGCTTGCATGCCCCCTGCTGGATGTGGGCTGCATGACCTGCCTCAGAGCAGGTGGAGAATTGTAACAGATTCCTCTCCTTGGAAAAGACTACCACTCTTAAGCTTATGTTTAAAAGAAACCTTTGGTTAAGGTTCCAGTGTTAACCATTGCTCAAGTTAGAGCTTTTACTGAGAGGAGACATATTCTTGACTTTCCATACGCCTTAAGCAAAGTTTCTGCTCTTATAATCGGCCCTCGCCATGGTAACCTTAAATACAGAGAAGTCATGTGGCATCCCAAAGGCCTGAGTTTTATTGCCAAGGCTGTTACCTCTTCATTTTCTCTGTTCTCATTCTCCTCTTTGTTGGTGTGTGCTCCTAGTTGTGTTCCAAAGCTCAACATAAATTACTTGAGTTAATCCATAATCTATTGTCACCTAGTCCTTTTCCCTTTTCCTCAAAAAGGAATGATCAATTAAGGCTTAATGCTAATTTTTACCCCCCCTCCCCCAATAGATATCCAAGCCCAAGGCTTAAATCATTCAACAGAAGCTTTAGGAGTTCAGACTTACTGGGCAGCGTTGATCTGAATGAAACTTTGAATTAGATGAAAAATTAATGTAATTTGATTTCCAGAAACAAACAATTCCTAGAACTAGGCCAACCATTATCAATTTATGGAGATTTAATGAGTAGATAAGAAGCATTTAAAATAACTGTTATCAATAATTAAAATATGTAGGTTCTTGGGAAGTGTCTGAGCATATTTAACTGTGATTTAACCATTTTTTTGACATTTCTATGCCTTATTAGTTTGTATAGGCATATAAAATACAAAGTGAACTTTGAAACTTGACAGTTTTCAAATTCTGACTGCAAATCCCTTGCTAAATATATTTTACTGTGTTTCTTGTCATTGAAATGAATACTTACCTAATCAATTTACCTTTAAATCAGAAATGAATTGAACATTTCCCTAATTAATTTAAAATTTTAAAATTTCTCTTGTCCTAAATTATTCACTCTGTGTTTATTATCTACAAGCAACATTGTGTGTTAAAGTGTTTCACAAAGTAATACCATTGAAAGATTTTAAATACTTTTTTTTTCAGAATTATGAAAATTTCTATGCCTTAATGAGTTGGCATACATTGACACTTTTGAGGCATTATATTCAAATATAATATTTAAATGTTATAGTATCTTTAAATTAAAAAAAAACTATAGAATCACTTTTCTGTGACGAGTGTAGTTTCAGAAAGGGAGGTAACATTAAGCATCTCCTTCCTTCTTTTCTCAACAAAAACTTTGCTTATTGCAAACTGGAAAGCAAGTTTTATGTTGTGTTAGGCATAAAGGGAGACTAAAGACTCTCATTCCTTTTTTTCCCCATAATTCAACAGTTTGGTTTTATTAGAAAATGAAATTGGTTTTACCATTGGTTTACTTCTGAAAATAAACTAACTACAGGTTTGGGGCCCACAGTTAAGGTCAGTTAAAGAAGCTGTTTTGACTCATTTTTTTCCCACTTACTGATTAGACTTTTAGTCACTGGAGCAATTTGTATAGGTATTTTCATGGAAAAATTTAAATAGACCCAGGGCTGTAGGTCAGACTGGAGCAGGGACTGGCAGTAGTGCCACTCTGGTCTGCTCACTAAGTGGCTGAAAGGTGAGCTGAGTGCCATATTGCTTGGCTTCCCTCGACACTGTATTTAATTGTGTTTCCTCTCCTCAGGCAGAGACTATGTTGTAGAGAGCCACATTGAACTGCAGATGCCCCAGTCAGCACTTTAGGCCTGCTACAGGTTGCTGGTTTGACAGATACTCAAAATCTACCAGCAGATGCAGTTCTTTCTTCCTAAGATCATAGTGTTTTCTTTTACATTCTACTTACCATCTAAATAGTGTATGTAGCTCTCCCTATGAGAGTCATCTTCCCTGTACTGTATTGTTTGAAGCTTCTGCTTGTCACTGCTGTATTTTCAAAGGTGTTCTCCCAAGTCCCTGTACTGAACATAGACTCTTGTCTCCATTACACATGTTTCCACATGCTGTTAGGAATGCAGATGAGCTGAAACCCAGGCTGCCAGGACACTTGTAGAAATTGTATCTTGGCATTGGCATCTCCTATAAAATTATATTATTAATTTCATTTATAGAAGAAGGTGGATAGATTGTTTACACTTGCCAGAAGTCTTTATGTGATACTGTTTCTATCAGAAAGGAACTTAAAAAAAAAAAATTAAGGATATTAGCACTGCCAGATTTTCATTTCATGGAGGTAAACATGAGTTACTAAGTTAAATCACTGTATCTAGGATTAAGTTTGATTTGGATTTTGTTCATATTTTCTTCAGGCTAGCTAGTTTTGTTATCAAATGGTGATTTCTGAACTTGAGTAGCAGAACTTAGATGACATCTTATATGCACCTTATGAGCATGTACAAAACATAAGAGCAGTGCTGCTCTGGTAGGTTTGGGGCTTGAGCCAGAGCCTGTCTTCTACCTCCCACCCCTCAACCCAGCCCCCTCACTTATCCCTCCCCCACCCCGCCTCCAATGCACTTCTGCCTCTCCCCCACCTCATCCCACCCATGTCTGTCTACACTCCACCTTCACGCCTATCTCCACCTCTACACCTCCACCCAGCAGAGGCCACTGCAGAACCCCTAGCTCTCAGTGCACTATGGTCTGAAAACGTCTCCCTTGGGACCTGTTTCCAGTGAATTTTGGATCCCCTAGGATAATTTATGTTTGATCAAAACAAATCAGGAAAAAAGTATATTCCAGAGGGTACAAAAACTGGCAGCCCTATTCCTTACCAAATCCTTGCTTCTTTGAGCATCAAAAACACTGAGAGAATTTTCTCTTTTTTAATTTTTTTTATTTTGCCATGAAAAAAATTCAGAAAAATTTTATTTTTTATTGGAGTTGAGAGAATTTTCAAACAAAACACTTTTTACAAGAACCTTAACAAATTTTTAAACATTCGATAATGCCTCTTTTTAGCCAAGAGCCTCAGATTTCCAGTTATTTATACTGGATATCCAAGTAGAAATCCTTTCAGTATGTAAGGTAAAGTTGAGGCGGCTACCTGTAATGCTAGCTTTAATTTTAGCCTAAAGTCCAGTCCTCCCCTTCCCACCACACACGAATCCCTTAAAATGCTATTTTTTTTATAGCAAAAGTGAATCCTTCATTTGAACAAATTTCTATAGAGACAAAGATGAATCTCATTTATTAATGCTGTGCTCATTTGAAAATTATCACATTTTAAAATTACAAGCATGGGTTTAAAAAATGCCAGAATTTGTTAGAATTTTTCTTAAAAACTTTTTAAGAAGTAGAAAGTGTAGCTGTTTTAGGGGTCTTCTTTGTATATTGAGGCTTTGATCTGAAAAATCAGTGAATGCAATGGAGAATTTTCTGAGGAAATACTTCTTTGTCATATTACAATACCAACCTGCCAGGACACTAGACTGTTAGCATCAGAGATTTGGAAAAGAATCACTGACATGTTGAAGTTTTTACAACTATTTGCATACATTGATTTTTTCCAATTTTTAAATTTTTGGTGGTTAAATACACATAACATAAAATTTACCATCTTAACCATTTTTTATGTGTGCAGTTCAGTGGCATTAATATATTCATAATGTTGTACAACCATCCCCACCATCCATCTCTGTAACTCTTTTCATTTTGTAGAATGAAACTCTGTACCCCTTGAACAATAACTCCCAATTCCCTCCCTCCCCCCAGCCTCCAGAAACCACCATTTCACTTTCTGTCCCTATGACTTTGACTACTCTAAGTACTTGTGTTTTTGTGACTGGCTTATTTCACTTAGCCTAACGCCCTCAAAGTTCATCCATGTTGTAGCATATGTCAGAATTTCCTTACTTTATATAAATAATATTCCATTGTATGTCTATGCCACATTTTGCCTATCCATTCATCTGCTGATGGACATTTGCGTTGCTTCCCTGTTTTAGCTATTGTGAATAATGCTGCTATGAACATGGATTTACAAATATCTCTTTGAGATCCTGCTTTCAGTCCTTTTGGGTATATATTCCAGTTTCTCTATATCCTCACCAACACTTGTTATTTCTGTTTTCTGGATAATAGCCAGCCTAATGGGTGTGAGATGGTGCATAGACTGATTTTTGAAATAAGTCATTTCCTGATTGTATCCATTGATTTTAATTAACAATTCTCATATGACAGTAACATATGCCACAGTAACCTTTCACTCCTGTTCTCCTGGCTTCTGTAACCCACGGCCCCGTTCCTTTCTACTCCTCAAGAAACTCCTCTGTCTCAAGCCCAGGCTGAAGCTGTGTCCTACATACTAATACTAATATATCCAATGTCCAAAAACCACTTGCATGTCTCAGAAGCATTTCAAACTTGACATGAATACTTGATCTTCCTGCCTCCAAAGAATCTTTCTGCTCCTCCTCCAGTTTTTCTGCTCAAGCAGAAATCTAGAGCCAGTCTTAAAATCTCTTTCTCTATCAATTACCCAAACCAATTGTAAGTCCTGTCCTTTCTACTCCCCAAATCTATTTCCATCTCCACAGCCAACTTTATAGCCTAAATCACCATCAATCTTGCCTTTTGGCTGGTCTTCCAGCTTCCTCTTTTACCTTATTTTAATCCTCTCTTAACAGGGTAATCTTTCCAAAGATGCATTCTAGTACTGTCTCTCACTGATTAAAAATTGTTTAAAGAATTAAGTTCAAAGTCCCTACCTTGGCATATTGATCCTTTGTAATTTGGCCCCAGCCTATCTCCCCAGCTCCATCTCTTTCTTCTTTATTTGTATCACCTGCTGCAGCCTATACTTGTGATGTCCCAAGTGTGTTTTGGCACATGTTGCCTCTGCCTAGAGCCATATAACAGCCTCTCCCTTCCCCTTGCTATCTTCATCTGGCCAAAGCCTACTTATCCTCCAGAGTTCAACTCAAGCATCCCTTTTCAATGAATCCTGCTCCAGAGACTGGGTTAGGTGCTATATCAGAAAGGCATTCAGCTCTAAAAGAAAACCCTCAGGGTCTTAAACACATAGGGTGTATTTTTTTGGTGTTCTCACATACGAAGTCCGAACATAGGCAGTCCAAGGCAGGTACAGGTTCTCAAAGACCTAGGCTCTGCCTATCTTTCCACTCTCCCTTCTTAGTATGTTGGCTTATCACTTTATGTGGCTGCTACAGCTTTGAACATTGTCTATATTCAAGAAAGGAAAAAAAGAGAGTGGGTAGAAATAGGTATGTCTGAACCTTTTATTAGGAAAGCAAAAACTTTCCCTTCTCACTAGCCACAGATGGATCTTATGACTACACCTTAACTGCAAGGGAGCCTGGGAAATCAGGACATAGGATTGTCATAGTTTACATAGACCATTTTGGCCCCAAACAAAACCTGGGTTTTATTAGCATGGAAGATAGGGAGTGATACTGGGAAAGCAACTGACAAAACTGCTCGTCCCTATAGTAGTATTATCATACTGCAGCATCCCTCATTAGATTGTAAGCTCCATGTGTGCAGAGATTGTGTCTTGTTCTTCTTTGTATCCCTGGTGCCTTACACTATACCTGACACATGGTAGTTGCTCAATAAATGCCAATTAAGCAAACAACAAGTAAAAATATATATGTATTTAGCGCATATATTTTGAGTTAATTTTTTAAAGTCTGTATATAGCAATTCATTTGCTATTTAATAACATGGATCTGTTGTCTCAACAAAATAATCGAATGTAGACCCAGTTGTCAGTCAGGATACAATTTCTTAGAGACACTGTCACTCCAGGATTCAGCTCAAGCCTAGATCATAAAATTCTGGTTGAACTGACAGTCACCCTTTCAGCTGGAATCTCACGTGGGAGGAGACTGCCCAGGCCCTCCCGGGTTAGTTCATCTATCTCTCTGGTCCCCCATTCAGGCTTGCAAAGAGACTTTGCATGAGGAGGCCTGGAATCTGCCTCATGGAAATAGGCAACACGAACACTAAGTCTGATCCCTCCATTCCTCCTTCCAACAATGTGATCACATTTTCTGGCAGAATTTTTTTTTTTTAATGCAGACTCGTCATGTCCCCCCCTAGACTTTATATTTCTCCTTATGAATGGCACCACTGTCCACGCAGCCCTCCAAGCCAGAAACCTGCAAGTCCTCAAGGCTAACTCCTTCTTTATTACATCCTGCCCATTCATCTCTAAATCGCTCTTAGAACTGCTTACTTCTCTCTGTCTCTGCCACTTCTGTAGGTGCAGGCCCTTATCTTCTTCTCTCCTGTGGATTGGTCAGGTCCTTCTGATTGGTTTCCCTGCTTCTAATCTTAACATTCTTAAAAGCCATCTTCACATTTCTCTTGGAGAGATCTTTATAAATTGTATATTCAGCCATGTCACTGCCCTGTATAAAAATCTCCTACTGTCTTCCTCTATAAACTGCCCCATCTACCACTTCAGCTTCATCTCTCACCCACTTTGCCTCCTACTTTATGTAACTACAACAGAAATCACTTGGATTTCCTTTTTCATACTCTGCCATTTCTCACTCCCGTAGCTTTGTTCATAGGGTTGCCTCTGCCTGGAAATGCCCTTCTCCACCCCCTCTCCTCCTTTGCTGGTTAACTCTTACTCGTCCTTTAACACCCACCTGATTTGAGAAGGCTTCCCTGACTGTTCCTCTCTCTTCCCTGCCATAACTGAGTTAGGTGCCCTTCATCCTGTGTATACCACATTGTCTAATAATTGCCCAGTGTGTCTGCTCTACTGGATTCCAGTGTGCACTCCCCGAGGGCAGGGGTGCTCATGATCCCTCTTTGTGTCCTCAGTGCCTGGCACAGAGTAAGGAACTAACTCATTTCTGTTGACTAGCTAAATGGAGGAGTAAGAAGGAAAAAAGGTGGCTTTCAGACATATCAAATAGGATGAAATGTTATTAGGATAACTCTGACTTTTAAATAGGCATAGTGTTTTTATATCAATATTTCTATTCCCATATGCCTGTCTACTTTTATCATGTATGCTATGAATGCTGTGTTATATTCCTGATAAAGATATATTCTGCATTTGGTTTTTAGGTTAAAGCCATTCACATCCACTCTGATATGTTCTCAGTTCAAAATGGCTTGCTGACACCAACACTAAAGGCTAAGAGACCTGAGCTGAGAGAGTACTTCAGAAAACAAATAGAAGAGCTTTACTCAATCTCCATGTGAAGTTCAAGGGAAGTTCTTCTCAGTATAATGGACAATGTAGCAATATTATAGTTATTTTTTGAAAGTAACGTGTCAGAATGATGCAGCTGAAAATGAAAAGCACGTGACCTTATGACTGAGCCTCTTCCTGTCCCAAGAGGTCTTTAACAATATTTTCTCTCTCATCACCGAGTATACTTTATTTTTATTACAATGATATTGTAGTAAGCTGCTAAAAATATCACAAATGGCATTGTAAAAATCAAGACTTTTCTCAAGAACTGTGTACCACTAAAAGTAATATATTCTCAGTGTTCACAGAACTTCTATTAAACATAAAGGAAAAACATAACTGATATACTGTACTTAATTATTTGTGGAATAGTAACCAGGTACAGCAAATATCTAGGCAATGTGGACTACCTCATTCAATAACTGATGGTCAAAATCACAATTAAATCAGACTTAAAAAATTAAAACTAATACAGAATCATTCTGAAACAAAGCATGATAGTTCACATTCTATATAACTTCAGATTCTTTAAACATAACAATCCTCATTGACGTGAAAAAATTTTCTCTCCAATTTTTACTTTTATTTATGAAGAATGCAAATATTCTTAAAACAAATGTATTTACATAACATTTTACAAAGATCTTTCAATACATTTTCTTATTTATTAAGCTCATTCAAATATTAAGGAGCTACCTGGAAAGAAATGTAATGTACAACTACTTCAAGGGTAGTATGTGTATATTCATGGATGTCTTACCACATGAATTATAAAAGATGTCTGTTTGACTCTGCAATGAATGGACCTTTAGGGAAGACTTGGGAGAAGAAACCCAGAATTATTTCTCAGGGTGGGCAGCAATTAATATACTGATGTTCCTTGCTGGGTTCTTCCAGTCTTCCCATTTTCAATGTGTCCATGCCAGGCCTGGGAAACCCATATGGCAATAATTCTGAACAGCTTCACTTTCTTCCAGTAAGAGATTATCACGGCAGGATGTAGGGAGCGGGGGGATGTTATTTCCAAATGAAATAATTTTTCAACAACGTAAGTTTGAAGAACCTCTTCAAAATACCCCTAGAAAACTATTTACGTCCATCATAGATAAATATCTCCTTGGGAAATAATTTCATGCATAGAATCTCTAAACCCTTCTAAGCTTACTCATGAAAACCTCCTTTCTTGGCGTTATGTGTTTAAATACTTCTTGCACCTGGGTGCCAACAATGTCATATAATTAAAGCCCAGCATGGACGGCAATTAGGTTCCAAGCTACAGACTGCATCTACAGAAGAAACTGTCCCTAGGAAAGTGTTTTCTTCTGTAGAGACAGGATTGTGAAAGCAGAGATGGGGGCAGTATTCACAGTCCAGAAGCTCCTTACCCCTGGAGCAAATCCAAACTGTCAATAAATGCTGTCGGTTAGAAACTGCATAATCACACAGGCTTACTAGATGAATCTGCACCAGTGATTATACACTTATATTTCAGTCTTCACAAAAGTGGACGACCACAGCTTCATTTGATGTATTTATCCAATCTTTTACATATTCCTTTGCTGGATTCTCTCTGCAGTCCCACTACTTGCACTTATAGATTTGACTTTTAGTAGATGACCTAGTTCTGTGCACATTAATTTTTAAAGGCATTTCTAAATAAACAAATACTAAAAATGTCCAAGGCCACATCTATTATACATAGCATTAATTTTTTTATATTTAATATATATTTGACTAATTAAAAGAGAAAATCATTACCTGAATTTGATATTTGTATTATTTTAAAGGCAAGTAGCTTCACATCTTGAGGAAAATGAACCTCTTTCCCATTGTCCTTCCGCTCAACTAAATTTCATATTTGTCTTTGTTTCCAAAGGATTTTAGACAATGAAATTATAAGCAAATAATTTAAAATATATTTTGATTACATTTATACCTAATAATAGTTAGAGATAATTGATTATGGATAACTTAAGATTTCTTCTCTTTCTCACTTTAAAGATCTTATGTTTCGATTCGCCTTCCTGATCCGTGTGAAAAGCATCACACTTGGGCATATAAATAGGTTCTGGCAGATGTGCTGAGAAAAGTAAACAGTGGGACCTAAATATATTGCACGTACATTTATTTTTTCCGCTGTTTAACTCTGCTGAATTTTTTAATAAAGGAGAAATGAAACAATATGTGTTAATGGAAAAAAATCCTTCTTGCTTCAGATTTCCCAACTTTATTTTGAGGGGGAAAAGTTTGTATTTCTCTTTAACCAATGTAGAAAAAGGCTATGTACTTAAGACATTTACATTCATAGTGGACATCAGATCCGATTTAAGTCTAGAGGTATAATGGAGATCAATTACTTAACATAAACATGTTCTTAAATGTTTGGCCTTTTATCTCTTTCTCATTTAAATGTGTTAGTAATTCTTACATTTTACAAACTAATCTTGTTGTCTATAAAGATATAAAATAGAATATACACCAATTTTTTTTTCCTTTTGCCATAAAAGACATCTTTGTATTGTGATTCTCCTCCAGGTGAGAGAGGAAACTGACCAGGTATGTGCAGGCCTAGCTTCACATATTAGGAACCCACGAACTCAGGAGTCTAAGGAATAAACATACCTAGTCTCCCTCACATGAGCAAGTCAACCTTTCATTCTAAATTTAGGTAAAACTGCAAGCATGAGAAAAAATAGGATTTTTCATTGCAATTTTTATAGTCAGGTAATGTTTTAGCAGCTTGAAGTCAGCACTTAATTTGATTGTATTACCCATCAAAGAACCTCTGATCTTTTATTTTTCTGCAGTAAAGGGAATGAATTATTCTTTATTTTCCAAATGTATAAAGCACAAATGTGATATAGTTACTTAGAATACAAAATACTATGAAATGAATGTAAAGAATGGAAAAAATGTATTTTTGCATGAAAACAGACCACTTACAAACTTGCTTCATATCTCAGGAAATAAAGAATGAAAAATCATATATAAAATAGATAAATTATATGGGCTAAGTTGCTGTATTTTCTTGCCTATTTCTATTTTAAGAAAGCATATACATGAAAAGAAAAAATGATCCTGGTAGTCTGAATTTTCTCTCAAGTATGCTACACAGTCCTTTCTGTGAACCTACAGTTAACTGCAGTAAGAATGGAATTGGCATTCAAGTGAGGACAAAGCCCTAATGAGAAACTCTTCAGTTAGAACACATGAATGGTTATAACCCAGAGGCAATAGATATATACTACCTGGAACACAAGCATTTCTAAACTTGGTCCCAAACAAAAGGTTTTCATGAGGTGACAGTGGCTTTTAAACATTCATTTGATTGATTATTTTTATTTTCCTTGTTAAGTCATTGCAAAAATTGCATGGAGAGCGATGGATATTTTTGCAAGAACTGCTTATTCTACTTTCAATTTTTTAAAATTGAGGAGATTAAAAAATTACCTTTCAAATATGCATAAAAGTATTTTAACTGTAATTATATTTTTAGTTGCTTTGTTATAGTAGCATGCATATCAAATATAAAATGCATTTATGAAAACATTTGTAAAAAATAAAGATTTTTTGTTTCTCAAAGTTGCTTATAATTACTATTTTATAATATTTATTCAGCACAATCCCCTGATGTTAGTATACTTGGTGATCATAGATCATAGTGCTTATGGTAAACACTGTATCAAGCTGTATCACTAGTCAGCATACTCTACGTCCTCTATAAGGGTCCCCAATGGCCCCCCCAGAGAAGCTATCCTTTTCCTTGCACATTTGCTATTACCATATGTGTCCTGTATTTACTTCATTTTTATATTTTTAAAAGAACAAAAATTGTATTCAAATTTTCCATCATGATGGTCCTTAAACAGTTATTTCCATAATGTCTTTTACCCATACACAACAGTACACTTTCTTAAAATTGTACATTTTATGCAGATTCTGCCATATATTTGCTACCATCTACTCCTCTCTATTTTCACAGCTTTTACTGTAGTTGGGGCCACTCTCATCTCTTGTCTGGAATATTACACTGCTTTTAAAATTAGTCTTCCTGTTTCCACCCCAGCTTCCTCAAATTTCACCATCCACATTTCAGTCAGGGGGATCTTTCTAAATTGAAAATCTGGTCGTGCCACTCTCCTGTTTAATATTCCACAGTTTCCAGGATAAAGTTCAGACTCCCTGCTTCAGCACATAAGGCCCAGCGTCTCTTCTCCAGCCCTTCCTCTATAGAGTATTGGCTCCAATCATACCAACTACTTTTTTGCAGTGCCCTAAAAGCATCATGCTTTTAGGTCCCCTTTTCATAGAATACCCTTTCCTTTAATCCCCCTAATTCCTATCATTCATATCTTAAAACTCAGTTCAACTATCCTTTTCTCTAAGAAGCTTCCCACATGGTTGCATGGTTGATTGTCCCTTTGCCCCACTCTCACTAAGACTGTGTGTTGCCTGGGGCTGCAGAAGGTCTGGCCCATAGTGGTTGCTCAAGAAATGTCTATTGAATGAAAATCCCCTTGGCCCTTTTACATATGTTGCATAGCATTAAGACTGCAATACCTAAAGATACTTTTCATCTATCACTGTTATTTTTTTTCCAATCCTGTCAACTAAGCAAAAATAAGCCAATTTTCAGTTGGACCCTAAAGCCTGTGGATGGTACCACAAATGAAGCCTTTGGGGCTGGGGGGTGGGGGAGTCACTCGACAAGAAAACGGTATTCAGAAAGATTTCCTCTAGGCTCCAGGGAATCCTAAACCCATGAACTGGCTGTTTTCCCAAAAGCTTTCTTCAGAAATCTATTAAAAATTTGGATTTTCTTTTCCCATGGAAGTTAGCATCTCCATGACTGTTCCAATCTAGTCAAAACAACATGACTGAACTGAAACACTGAAAGAATTCTGAGTGTAGATATGGAAGCAATACAACAGGGAAATGGAAGATGTTCAGTTTAACACTCATGGCTGAATGCTTGCACTGGCATTTGTGTATTTGAGGATGGAGTGGAGGGAGACAGGTGATTGAGTTGAGATGTCTCTGCCCTACCTCACCCTTTTGTAGGGGACACATTTCATTCCCCTTTTATAGGCTGGGTAGGTGAAACTTTAAATTGCAAGTCTGTATGTAGTCCCTTCCCCTCCCCTTGCTACTTAGGGCTTCAAGCTCTTTTCCTTGTTCCCCCCATCCCTTTCCCAGCCATGTGTTAGGAGGAATGGAAGCATGGCAAGCACACTAGCCAAATGTCAGGAGATCCATGCCACCTAGGTCAACCACCTGTCATAATGAGCCTCCTACGTTGTGGTTTGCTCAGCTTTGAATTGAGGGGACAGCAAGATCATCTCTAAGGACCCTTTTGGCTCAAGAAATCACATCAAAGGTTATTTCCAGTTTTGAAACCCTAGGCATTAACTCCCATAAACCTTTACTTGATGGCACTTCAGTGAATGTAATTCAGTATAGAGAGACAGAGTTCTAGAGAATAGGGCCACCAAAGGGCAGATCAACTTTTGCTTTAAGCTGTTTTCCTTTTTCAATGTTTCTTCCATTTCTAGGTCTAGGGCATCCCAGGATCTATACCTCCCAAAGGTCATTTAAGAGCTCCAAGCTTTTTTTTTTCACAACATTCTCCAAAGGGCAAGAAGGGAGCCTGGAGACGTGGCTTGTAAACTAGAGACTGCCTGTCAGCATATTATGGATGTGACTAAAGAGAAGATGTTGAAATATGATAACTGCTTTATACTGCAACAAAATTGTGAGATCCTTGATTGAAGAACCATTTCTAATTCACTTCTGTATCCCCAGGACCTATCACAATGCCTAACACAGAGTAAGGTGCTAAGTAAGTAGTGATTCAGTGACTCAAAGCACTATATCTAATCAGGTAAGAATGCCTACCCTCTGTTCTTTACAAAGTTAAGTCTAATGATTAATTAGTGATTGTTTTAATTATTAATAAGTGACTTTCTATGAGCATATTTTGAATAAAAAATTCAGTGATTTTATTATGAAAATATTGTGGCTATATGTGTGCTATATTTACAGACAATATTGGAGCATAACAGAAAAAGTCTTTGTGTTTTTCTAATTTCATCTGTACAAACAGTATTTTTTAATGTTGTGAAATGACATTTTTTAAAATAAGAAGATGGTTATTATATGCACAATATGTTTATCAGATGCAGCCAGATGGTTCAACCTGGGTGTATGGAGAGAAAGAGTGGTCATTCCTATGTTACTTCCTTTGGGCAGAGCAAAAGAGCTGAGCCTCAGGGCACTAGGAGGGCATCCCTTGTGGAACTCACTGCCTTAACCACAAGGCTGCCCAGAGGTGTCCAGGAGGTAGCTTCTAGGCAGGGACTAAGGGATTCTGCTTGTCCCTGAGAAGAAACCACCTGGAACCTAAGCTCTTCTAATGCCTGGTCAGACTCTCAAGTACCATGCCCGCCCCCAGTAAATTGGCGGCCCCAGGGACTGAAGTTGATTGCTCAGGAGGACACTCCCCATCACCATAACATGCTTTCATTCCTCTCTGACCTTCCTGCACTGAGTCAGGCTGACCCCCAGCTAGACTCCATGTGCTTAGAGACTTTAAACTCCATTACCATGGCCTTCCTGGTAATGTTGCTAAGGAGAGCGGCCCAGGCATCAGTACCAGGTGTTGGGCCCATCAGACTAATGAGAAAATGAAAAGCAAAAGAACAACCTCCTGGACGATGAAAAGTCTTTTTCCATTAATTTTCCCTTCAGCACGAGGTGAGGGAGCCTGCGCCTAGAGTCCAAGGTCCAGGCCTCCCGTCCACCACCAAGTTCCCTGGCTCTGCGCCTCCAGGAGGGCGGGGCACTGCCACTTCACTGTGTCTTCCCAGAAGCCACTGCGTGACTCCTCGGAGATAAAAAGGCGGGAGTGAGGCGGCGTTTCCAGACCAGCGTGGGGGTTGGCGCTGTGGGCCTGTTGTTTTTTTCTCACCTCTTTCATTCCTCTCGGGCTACCCTGCAGGCCAGGCCTGGACGCTGGTTCCCTCCGGCGTAGCTCGGTTCCTCAGGAAGACGAGACAGGCCTTCGAGGGCCAAGAGCCCTCCAAGGCCTGGCGGTGGGGTTGCAATGTGGTCACTACGGGTCTATACGCGCAAAAAGCGGGCCAGCCATAGGCTCAACCTAACCCCAACGCCAGATCTAGGTGCCCCGGCTAAGGCGGAGGCCCCGTCAGGGCCCGGCCGGAAGCTGTCTGCCCACTGTAAGCGCCGTGTGGCTGGCCTACGGAGTGGGACACGGGGTGGGCTGGGTCTAAGCCCCAGGGACCTCCGAGGCCCGCGGGCAGGCCTCCAAGGCTTTTTCCCTGAAGCATGTCTCCCTCTCTTAGGCCTGAAAAGAAGTGACAAAACGCGCGGTTTGCAGAGAATCACAGAGAAATCAGAGCTGAGTCGGCTGGGAGGTAGCAGCTCTGGGCCACCGAGGTGCGTATCCACGAGTAACAGCCCCGTGCCTCTGGCCACCTCAAAATTTCAATCCTGATTTTCTCCTAATAATCTCTAATTCTAAGAGTCAGTGAAGAAAATACTGTGTTCTGATTTCGCTGTTCTCCGAACACAGAGCCAGAAATTTGACTTAGGAAAGAGATATATTAAAAAAAAAAAAAGGAAGTTTTACCAAGTTGCCTAAAAGCAAGTGAGAGAAAACCTCCGGGAAAGCATTCGTGGCATCAATTGGTTATTGATACAATTCACCTACTGTGTTCCTTACTTCTTGTTAATTATGTCCCCACAGAGCTTTTCAGATTATAACAGTGTGAATAGTGATCAGGGACTTGGAGAGCCAAGTCCAGACGGTGCAAACTAATTGTGTTGTTTGTTTGTTAGCACTCAGTTAAGAGGTACAGGAGAGAAAAGCCTGCATGAAAATAGCACTAGTGAAGAAGCCCAGGATGAGAAGATTGCTCCATTGAGTGTATGTATGTTTCTCCTGTGGTCCTTGGATAAACTTAGGGTAGAGACCAGTGGTACCTGATGTACCTCTGGTCTTATATGAAAATATAATATGGTCTTTGTTCTATAGAGACTACATAGCTTTCTGGTGTTTTTATAAACATTGATGCTGTATCTTCAGACAGGGCCTTGAGTTAATGATTCTGGTAGACTCATAGCCATGCATTTTTGTTTTTTCTTTCCTTTGACAAAAATTTAAGAAATATTCATTACTGGCTAATTTTCTGTGTGACAGATATAAAGTGTTTCTTAGTAATTCTTTAATGTTTGGTAGCACTTAAACATTTCAAAGCCATTTTCATGTTTTCTCATTTGACTTTGCATTAACAGAAACAGAGGATTCATTATCATTAGAATATTATATAACTTCCTGATCTACTGTATTTAATGTGGATTCTGTACAGTATTTTAAAGATGTGTAGCAGTAGTTTGGAGAAATTCAGATTTTAGAAATTGCTTGTGACTCATCTGACATTAGCATTAAATTGGATAGTCACAGTCCAGCATTTTAGCTTGCGTATTTCTCTTTGACATGTTTTTTGGGGGAGGGCAGTTTTAACAAAAGGCATTTTTTTAAAAAAGGCTTTTCCCCAGATTTTAACAGTGTTAAGTGTCCCTAATAGATTATTCAGACTATGCAAAAAAATGTTTAATCAGTTTCTTTTAAGTTTTGTACTTTTTCTTCCATTCCTTTTCTCTGTGCCTTTAAAATTTTTTTTTTTACAAATTATCTTATTGTGTAAATTCCTCTAACATTAAGTAATCTTCAAAAATATGGTTTTTAGTGTCTGCATAGCGCTTTGTCTTATACATAGGTATACTATAATTTGTATAACTATTTTTCTGTGGTTGGGAGATTGAGATTGTTTCTAAGGTTTTACTGTTTTATATATCAGTAGATATCCTACCACAGAAATTTTTTGTGTGTACCTCAGATTGATATCCTAAGACAAATACGTTGCAGTGGGTCAAGGGTTGGATTATATTTAAAATTTTGATTCATGTTGGCCAGTTGGCACCATCTTATCTGAAACTTAAAATATCTATCTACTTATCGATAGATAGATAGATATTTGATAGATGAAAAGTAGCATGTTGTTTTACTTCCCATTTCTTTGAATGCTAGTAAAGTTGATATTTTTTCTCATTTTATTGGCCATTTGTGTGATTTTTTGGTGAAATACTTATTATATATTGAAGATTGTTGTACTTTTACACACACATTACAAATATTTCCACATTTGTTTGCCTTTAATTTTATTTTTGGTATTTTAGACTTATTTATCAGTCATTTTCTTTTGATTTATTTTGCTTTCATATTTAGAGGGAAAAAATTATTTCCTACTTACGGTATCAGAAAAATATTCATCTTTATTTTCTAGTTGCTGGTTTATCCCACAATAGTTAGTTGACTAGTATATTGTTGACTCCCTAGATATGTCCATAATATTATATTTTAAGATTTAATATTAAATATAAGACTACATCTGTATCAATAAGCTGAAAGAATGTATTACATCTGAAACTGATATACAAAGTTGATATTAGTTTTGCATTTTTGAAATAACCAAATCAATGTGTTACAATATTATAATATAAAAATATTCCATCTCATAATTTGTGTTATATCTTTAATTCTTATTTCACATAGGAGTCAGTGACAGATGACCTCCAGGTTGATAGTAGTTTATCAAATAGTGAACAAGTATCAGGTAAGACTGGCAATGTGAACTTCTTCAACTTGCTTTCTTACAAACATAAGCATCCATTTGTATCTCTGTCTTATCTTCCCATCTCAGTGGAAGAGATGTCTTTCTCCTGGTCCAAGTTGAATCCTTCAGCCTGTGCTGTAGACTTCATCCTCAAAGCCTTCAAGCACACACCAGTAAATTATAATTGTGATGAGTGCTACAAAAGTGAGGTTAACTTGAGTGTAACTGAATTTAGTTGAAGAGATTAGGGAAGACTTCCATGAGGGAATGGCAATTTAGTTGAGATCTGAAGAAAAGAAGAGCTGAACTATAAAGAGAGGTGAATAAAGAGAAATCCAGGCAGAAGGAACAGCATGTGCAAAGACCCTAACGTGGGACTGAGCATTTTGTGTTCAGTAAACTGAAAGAAGGCCAGTGTGGCTAAAGTAGAGAGGAGGAAGTGTGATAATAAGACAAGGTTGGACAGACTGAGGCTTTGCATAGCCTTATAGGCCATGCCAAAGATACTGATGTTTATCTTTGGAGCAGCAGGAAGCCACTGAAGTTTTTTAAATACAGAATGATATGATCGTATTAGCTACAGTATGGAAAGAAGTAGGGGTAGATGTAAATAGACCAGTTGGGAGGCTATTGCAGTAGTTAAGGGGAGGAATGATGGCTCTTTGTACTATGGGATGACATTGGAAATGGAAAGAAGTGGGCATATCTTATGGCTGTTGTAGGAAATGAAATTGACAGAATTTGGCAAATTAAGAGTGAAGAAGATGGAGGTATCAAAGATTACACGTGTTTCTGGCTTGCATAACTGAGTATAAGGTGGTAGCGTTCACTGAAAAAACCTTGTTTGAGGGAAAGATCATAAATTCTCTTTTTAATAAGTTATGGGTGTATTTAAGATGTATAAGTAGTAATGTCAAATAGGCAGTTGGATATGGAGGGCTACTGATAGAAGTTTGGTGTAATTGAAGTTATTTTTGAAAACAAGAAAGGATACCATTACCACACCAGAAATACTGAGGAATTCTTAAAAACAGATGAGATCCAGCTGATGAATAAATGAAGAGCAGAGAAAAACCACTGCAGAGGTAAGAATAGTTCTGGAGATACACTTAACTCAAAACACTTGGTCAGTAAATGCAAAACACTGTAATAGATGGGACCCTGAAGGAGTTGTCAAGGTGGTGGATTAAGCACTACATTCTGGCACTGTATGACCTGTCACCCTTCTCATCCCCTTCTTACATTGGAAACACTGGCAGCTCCCAGTGCATGCTGCCAGGTCAAAACCCTAGGAATTACTGCCAAGCAAAGTGAACTAAGTCTTCACTTTGGCTCCTTAGGGTCAATGTTGGAACCGGAGTGAGAAGCAGAAGGGAGTCTGAAGTAACTCCAGATTGCCACACAGAGAGCAGAGGGTCAAAAAAGTTAAAAATATAGATTATGCTTATGGTTGCTAAGCCCAGGAAGAAGATACATTATGGCTCTCTGAAGTGGGAATTCTGATATAAGAGACTTCCAATGTGGATACTAGCCAAATAGGGCAGTGTCCCCATGTAACCTACAATACCTGGAAAATACAGGAGGACATCCCCACCTAGACTGTAAGTTCCAAGAATGTCTCATCACTCTTCTAAAATCTCCAGAGGTAGGTTGTTGTTTCAGAATTTATACTCTGTGCCATACAAACAGATTCTCAAATAGAGATATGAACAATCAGAAACAGTCAAATCTTTGAAGAAAATCAGTGCCATGGAAGAGAGGCCACAAATGCAACAAACAAAAGAATTAACACCTGAGGGAAATGGTAGAAAACTTTAAATACCTCTTTAGAGACAAGAGGCCGTTGAATCCATAATATAACAGGCTGCTATAAAAAAAAAATTATAGTCCCTGGAAACTAAAAATATCATCAAATTTTAAAACAAGAAATTAACCTAATATTGAGATGTATTCAGCTGAAAATTAAATTAGCTAGCTAGAAAATAGAATAGAGGAATTTTCTTAAAATGTGGTGCAAAAGAGCATGGGAGGTTCTCAACAAATGCTTTTCCCTCCTTCTTCTTCTCGCCTCTTTGCCTGGTTAACTTCTGCTAGTTCTTCAAAACTAGATTCAGGTGCTATCTCTACTGGGAAGCCTCTCCTGACTGCTCTTCTCTCTTTCTAGATGAGTTGTTCTATCCTGGTAATTCTATGGCACTGTCATAGGACTCAAAACAGCAGTATAATTGTTTTTGTTCCTCTAGGCCCTAAAGCTATCGAAAATAAGCACTATCTTTTATCTTCCTATTCCATTCTTGGGATATAAAGTAGTTTGAAATGCTTGTTGAATGAGTTTTCTACTCTATTTAGAGGAAATAAACAATTTTACCATAATCAGTATTTTTTAAAATTGTAGTTTAAATATATGGTAAATGTCCTTGGTTACTAGCTTTATCAAATTGATGTGTGAAAGGTATGAGGAAATAGAAAATAGACTGTCTCTAATTAACAAACTGGTTGTATTCTGAGTTCATTTGTTGATTGATATTTGAGACCTAGAATACTTTATACTATAATAAAATATAAATGGTTAGGTTTTGAGCAGCCCACAGAATTCTATTTAACATATAATTAATTGTTTTAATTCTGTCTTGGAATCTAGTAATTTTGCAACATGATGAAAATTAACTCAGGATTTCATATTTAATATGGAGGATTGAACATATACGTTTACTTCTCCCTTCTGAAACCTCACTAAATTACCAATAAAGGCATTAAAAAAGGCATGAATCCACAACATAGAGAAAAAGAGACCTCAGCTGACAAGAGATAATCAGCAAAAGTTTGGAATCTGGAATGTAGATGAATAAATTATAATAGGCCTAACAGACAGAAAAAAAAAAAAAAAGCTGAAACCTAGATACCTAGAACAAACCAAGAAGCAAACTGAGGCAGGCTGAAGTTTCAGAAATTAGAGGAATCACATACTCCTGAAGAAATAGAGTTAATGTTGAAAATAGGATTTTTGGAAATCCTTAAAAGTAGCAATTAGATGGGCTTCCCTGGTGGCACAGTGGTTGAGAGTCCGCCTGCTGATGCAGGGGACATGGGTTCATGCCCCGTTCCGGGAAGATCCCACATGCCGCGGAGCGGCTGGGCCCGTGAGCCATGGCAGCTGAGCCTGCGCGTCCGGAGCCTGTGCTCTGCAACGGGAGTGGCCACAACAGTGAGAGGCCCGCGTACCACACACACACACACAAAAGTAGCAATTAGGTGCTGTGCTCCCTTCCCCAACATTATGTAGCCAGGCAGCTACTCTTTTTCCCACCATGGCAGTCCAGAGACATTGAAGCAAAGGGTCTGGACACAGGGATGCTCAGTACTGCTGAGGGCAGGGGTGCTGTATTGAAAACTAGCAGTGCGAGGTGGTGGGAGGAGGAGGGAAGGGAATTAACTAAAGTCTGTTTACTTACCCCAGACTCCTTACCCCACTCAGGAAAATACACCCCAGTTAAGAGACTGGAGGATTCCTCTTTTGGAAAAGACCTATTTTCTGGCAGTAATGACCTGTTCCCTGTCCAAATACCCTTCAGTAAAGCCCACTACTTCCTAAACCCCACTTATGAATCCAGAGTTTCCAACTGCTATTTAGTTGCCTCATTCTTTTTTAAAAAAATATTTATTTATTTTTGGCTGCATTGGATCTTCGTTGCTGCGCATGGGCTTTCTCTAGTTGGTGACGAGCAGGGGCTACTCTTCATTGCGGTGCACGAGCTTCTCATTGCGATAGCTTCTCATTGTGGAGCACTGGCTCTAGGTGTGTGGGCTTCAGTAGTTGTGGCATGCAGGCTCAGTAGTTGTGGCTCATAGGCTGTAGGGCACAGGCTCAGTAGTTGTGGCTCACAGGCTTAATTACTACACAGCATGTGGGACCTTCCCAGACCAGGGCTCAAACCCATGTCCCCTGTGTTGGCAGGCAGATTCTTAACCACTGTGCCACCAGGGGAGTCCTAGTGCCTCATTCTTAAACATTTAAGAATTACCAGGCATTTAAAGAAAATATTTAAAATAGAAGTTAGATACCAAATAAAAAGAAACCTGAAGGACAGAGACAATGCAAAGAAAAAAACTTCTAAGCCATATTTTCATTATTTTCCTCAGGATGATGAAAAAGTGTGTCCATGAAACAAGTGCAGGCTACTATAAAAAGGAGCATTAGAGAACAAAAAGAATTCTTAAAAAATAGTAACATAGAATTAGGAAAACATTCTGTGAAGGATTGGGTAATGAATTTAAGGAAATATTCCAAAAGTTGAACAGACATTAAAGGGAAGATAAAAGATAGAAATAGTGGTGACCCAACTCTATGAGTATACTAAAAAACCACCGAATTGTATACTTTAAAAGATTGGGATATATGGAATATGAATTGTATTTCAATAAAGCTGCTATTTTAAAAAGAAAAATAATTATAAGCTGAGTCTAGGCATTCTAACATCTGAAAAATAGTAGTTCCAGATATTATAAAGTAAACAGAAAGGGAATTATTAAACACATAAAACTGGAAATTTTTCTAGAATTAAAAATGGTTATGAGTGTACATATTGAAAGAGCACACCAACTGCCCATCACGATGAATGAAAAAGACCCACACCAAGGCACAACGTTATGTAATATAAAAATCCTCAGGATAAAGAGAGAAATCCTTCAGTTTTCCAGAGACAGGATAGATTCCCACCCAAAATTTGTTTCCAATTTCAAGGTTAATGATGCCATTCACATACCAGGAGGGTATGGAAAGGTTTATTACTGATATAATGAAGCCTTCTAGAGAGGAGGGTGTCTCCTGAGCAGGACTGAAAATGGCTTGAGAGAGCAGGGAAAGGAGACTGTGTTGGGGTTTTTAGGTGGTTAGAGGGTGGGGCTGGGGTGAGGTTTTAACTTGCTGGCGTTGCCAGAAGATGGAGTGCCAGGGCTTATCAGCTTGTACAGATGTGGGGCAGAAGGGGAACATGGAGCAGTAAGGTTTAAATCTGTCAAACACTAAAAAATGCAATCAGTTTTTAAAATATACTGGTCTAGAATTCTGTACTCAGCTAAACAATCACTCAAGTGTGAAGATAGTATAAAGAAATTTTTTAGACAGGTCTTCCATGCACCTTTTCTCAGGAAATGAAGAAGATACTCCAGCAAAACCAGAAAGTAAATCAATAAAGAAGAAATCATGAGATCCAGAAGTCAGAGGCTCTAATACATAAAATTTGTGAAAGAATTTCTTGGGATCATGGTAAAGGGAAATCTGGGGAAGACATGTGTGCAGCATGTCTAGAGGATAACCAGTCCAAATCTGAGCAAGTATATTGAGATCTCCAGTAGCAATATTTTTTTTAAAAAAGAGAAAAAAAAAAGAAGGAAAGAAAGAGGAGGAGAGAGAGAGAGGCAGGGAAGGAGGAAGGAAGGAAAGAAAAGAAAAGAACAAGAAAAAGAAAAGAACTGATAGATAATGTGGCATTTAAAAAAATTGTTGAGAGGAAATTTATACTTTTGCAAAAAGTTGGGATGAAATGGGTGCTTAGAAAACTAATTAAAAATTAGGTTATCAATAACTCAAAGGAAAAACAAAAACTTGTAGCAAAAAGGTGATATAAATAATATAGCTCATAGTACATGGCTCAGCTCTAAATATATTTAAGCAGTCATAATGATAGAATTATTGAATAAATTTAATTTAAAAATATAAAGGAAGATATTAAAAGAAGCAATAGAGTTAATAGGGTTGAAAACAGTTGTTTCATTATGGGGATTATGAAACGAGGTTTTTGATAAAAGCCTTGTAGAACTATTTGACTTTTTTAAATGTATGGTATAATTTGATATACATGTAATTTTAAGTGCATTTACATTTCTAACTTGTGACACCAGAAACATCCTTCTACTGTTATAATCAGGTTCATTTATTTGTTTATTCTTTTCTCTACCAAACTACCTGGATGGTGAGTACAGGGCTTTCCTAATTTCTAAGCCTGGCTTGAGTTCTGGGGTTTGGTGGAAGGGTTAGCTCTCCTGAGAGTGGTATTCATGGAATTTTGAGAGGTGGAAGGCACAAGAGATGTAGCAACATGTCAGTGAGAAGGATGAAGACAGAGTGAGAAAAGTAAAAAGTAGCAAGGACAGGGAAGGACACTCTAAGGCAGCTGAAGTAGGGGAAGCAAAAGATACTTAGAGGCATAATTTACCTCTGACATCTGATGAGGTGAAGAAGGATGGTAGCTCGAGTCAGTCAATTTAAGTGTCGCACTGATGGCTGGAGGAGGTGGCCAGGTAGGAAACAATTGTCAACTTTAAGGAGGGGGTTGGAGTGGAAGAGAAGGGTGTGGTGAGGTCAAAATGGGAAGGATAAAGAGTTAGTTGTCTCAGGTAGGTAATGGATGAGCAGAGATAGGTATAGATAGGGCAGGGCAGAAGATAATGGGTTTTCAGAGTAATGCTCTCCTTTCATCCCTTACCCCACACCCCTCCAGTTTCTATTAGCATTGACCTCTGTTTTATCATGTTGGAAGTGTTTGATAACTGCTGACTGACTATAGCAGAGTATATTTTCCCTTTCCTTACTAAATCTTCTGGTTCTTCAAATAAATATTAAGTTCTATCCCTGTCATTTATTAGAAAGGTTTTCATTCTAGGCTACTCTCACAGGGATGACTTTAAGACCTCTGATTCTAGGAGATTTTCTGTTCAGATATTTACCCCAATTTCCTACTGAGATGTTTGTTTTCTTATTACTGAGTTTTCGGAGTTCTTTATATTTTGGATTCCAGTCCATTTACAAATGTTTTCTCTTAATCTATGGCTTGTCTTCTCACCTTAACCATCTCTTTCAAATAAAAGGTTTAAAATTTGATGAAGTCCAGTTTATCACTGCTGTTGTTTTATGAATCATCCTTTTAGTGTTATATCAAAGAAATCTTTGCCTAACTCAGTGTCATGAAGATTTTCTCCTCTGTTTTTTTCTAGAAGTTTTGTAGTTTTAGGATTTGCATTTAGAATCATGATGCATTTAGAGTTAATTTTTTATATGATGGAAGGTATGAATGCAAGTTGTTTTGTTTTGCTTTTGCATATGGATATCCAGTTCCAACATAATTTGTTTAAAAGAATATCCTTTCTCCACTGAATTGCCTTTGCATCTTGGTCAAAAGTCAGTTACTCTTATATGTGTGAGTCTATTTCTGGGCTCTCTGTTCAGTTCCTTTCATCTATGTTCCTTTGAGTCTATGTTTATGCTCATTGTTTTTTAAATGGAATAACTAGAATCACTGTTTCTTCTTCTCAGCTAGTTAGCTTACAGTTATTGGGTTACTTATATATAAAACTTGCATTTAAAAAATTAGGTATAGGGCTTCCCTGGTGGCTCAGTGGTTGAGAGTCCGCCTGCCGATGCAGGGGACACGGGTTCGTGCCCCGGTCCAGGAAGATCCCATATGCCGCGGAATGGCTGGGCCCATGAGCCATGGCTGTTGAGCCTGCACGTCCAGAGCCTGTTGCTCCGCAGCGGGAGAGGCCACAACAGTGAGAGGCCCGCGTACCGCAAAAAAAAAAAAAAAAATTAGGTATACATTTTATTTACTTATATTTATTTTTTATTGAAGTATAGTTGATAAAACTTGCATTTTTGAGCCAAGAATTATAACTGAACCAAAGTAGGGAAGGAATAAATTATAAAACTTTGAAAAACAATGGAAAAGGTTTATAGTGCATTTTCTCCATATCAAAAACAGAATTATTTTCTCAGATTGAAATACAATTTAAGATTGTGTACAGTAGTATGCCTTTTCAGTTGTATGTGTAATTTTACATTATTAGTATATAACTGCATGTACATTTCTACAAATTTGAATTCTTAGGATTTTGAATCTGTTTACTATTGAAACATTTTACCCTTTTTGTTTGTTTGTTTATTCTACAGGACTAAGTTTACAGCATGATATTTCTAGCTCTCTTCTAAGTTACTCAATCACAGACTCTTATACAGAATACAAGACTTTTGAAGAGAGTTTAAGTAGCTTCCCATCTCCTGAACTCTTCAGAGGATCAGATTATTTAGGTGAGAAAATAATTTCAACCTTAAGTTGCTCCACTGTAGAAATTGCTCCTTTGTCCACAAATCCTGCAATGAATAATGTTCCTTTTGAGGAGGTATACTTCTTTTCCACCAAAACCTTCTTCTGCCCACTATCCATTGTGTTCCATGCTCAGTCACATAGGACTATAGATCAAAAGCCCTCAGATCAGGGAAGGATGAAAAGATTAGCATTTATATGTAATACATATCCAGTTAGTAAGCAGTTTTGCACATAACATATGTATACTTGTTCTCTTGAACTATGGGCTATCTTTTACTTCCTATACTTCTCTTACTTTTCAATAACTAAAAGTTTGACTAGACCATCTCCCTGTCTGAATTTTTTCTACAAATTAACAGTTATTTACATTTACTATATGTATAATTAAGAGCCTTTGGTTAATGATGCAGATTGAACACACGCCTTCCTCCACAGCTTTGCACAATGGCTTTTTAAAAAAGACATAAGCACATAAGAATAAAGAGAATGGGGAAGAATAAAGCATAAAGTTTGGAAAGCTAGAGAGCAAATGGTCTGATAAAGCAGAATTGAAAAAACTGAGTCCTAAATCAACAATGAGAATACCCCAGAAACAAGTTAGTTTGTACAATACCGTAGTATCCCAGAAAAGTTTTCAATGTGGCTTGTAAAATACTTGTAAAAAGCTGTGTCCAAAACACAAAAGATGTGGTGACTTCTCCTTTCCTACTCAAATGGAGTCTGGAGATTTATTCTTTGGGGTGTTTTGAAACAGAGGGACTCTGGACTGGAGGATACTAGGCACTGTTAATAGCAGGGATACCATGGTATTTTGAAATGTTAGTCCCAATTACTCATTCCCCTGTAGTAGTATTATATAGCCATACCCTTGTCATAGCCTCATAGTGGGTGAAATGTACTTTCTCACTCTTTTGCTTTGGAGTTGACCATATGACTTACTTTGGGCAATAGGATATCAGTGAGTGATACATAAACAAACTTTTGATATGTGCATACATGATTGGGCTTGTCCTCTTATCCTTTTGCCATCGTGAGATGAATACAGATTTTCTTCCACTTATGATGGAAAAAACTGTAAGTCGAACCACTATAAGTCAGGGACCACATGTATATCCTAATTAGCTTTTACCTCTCCTGTGGGACTCCAGAATAAGAGATACAGAGCAGGATAGCCCCAGGCAGACTGCAGACTTCAGAGAGCTGCCCCAGCTGATCACCAGACCCATATAATCTAAAGCAGAGCTGCTTGGGCCAAACAGTAGACATGAGTATAAGAAATAAATGCTTTCATTTTATGCTACTGGCATTTCAGTGTTATTTATTATACAGAAAAAGCCACCTGCTTCAGGTACTGTAGTGAATGCAGAAAGGGGGAATTAAATGCAAGTGTACATTCCAAATTGTGGTACTTGCTCACCCAGTGCCTATTCTCATCCTAACCCAACAGTCATTACTCTGTTCAGCTTCCAGAATGCTAGCACCCAGAATTGAAACTTTCAGGCAAGAGAATGGAAGGTTTTTTCCTGAGAAATCTGAGCAACCCTAAAGAAAGTATCTAAAGATACTGGCCTCAGTAGTCCTTCAATGAAACTGAGAAGAACCCTACAGTGAAGCTGCCTATGTGACAAGCCCCAACTAAACCATCGAGATCCCACTCAGCCATTTAGGGCCCCCAGAGAGCCAAGGACTACTAGACTTCTGAGAAAACCCTCTAACATAAAACATAGAGATCAGAACAAAGCAAAATATGGTAGTGAGTCAGTAAGGTGTTGGAATAGGAAACCCTAGACCTGCCTTCCCCCAGGGACACACCAATTCAACAATACATGGACTAATTCCCTTTGTGAGAAATCTAAAAACTAGTTGAGGGGCTCCTGCACCCCAGGCAAGCTTGAGACCAGTCACATCAAAGGCAGTAGGAAGGACTTCCCTGGTGGCACAGTAGTTAAGAATCCACTTGCCAATGCAGGGGACACGGGTTTGATCCCTGGTCCGGGAAGATCCCACATGCCATGGAGCAACCAAGCCCGTGTGCCACAAGAACTGAGCCTGTGCTCTAGAGCCCGCAAGCCACAACTACTGAAGCCTGCACACCTAGAACCCATGCTCAGCAACAAGAGAAGCCACCACAATGAGAAGCCCATGCACCACAACAAAGAAGAGTAGCCCCCACTTGATGCAACTAGAGAAAGCCCGCATGCAGCAACAAAGACCCAATGCAGCTCCCCCCCACCCAGGGAAGCCAGTAGGAAAATTCAAGACACCCTTTCACCATAATTCACACCCCCAGCACAGGTTGGCAGGAAACCTTCAGCTTCCAGCTTCTCCCTATGGAGGGAGGGAAAGGACTGAAGCATGTGTCAAAAGTTCTCAATTTTCTGGGAATGGTCAAAGAATTGCCTACTGTCTTATCTGCCTCAGAGGGCTGATGGGACCTGACATACTCTAGAAGTCTGATGGGTGCTGAAACAAAGATAGTATTTTGTCCTAGCATGAAAACATTCACTAGATCCCAGCTTCTCTCTGGGGTGGGGAAGAGTTGGACTGTGTCCAAAATTCCAACATTTCCGGGGGCTGCTCGAAGGAATAGTTTTTGTCTCATCTGTCTTGGAGCACTGATGGGACTTGGTGTATTCTAGATTCCTCATGGGCACTAAGAACAAAGACTATGGTTTGAACTGGCAAGAAGGTTTGAGAGGATCCCAGAATCTCTGGTTGGGAAGATTGGTGAAGGTCTTCTGTACGACACCTATCTGTGAAGACTGGGAGAGGTGGCTGTTTTTTCTAATGTGCAGATACCAACACAAATCATTAAAGAAAAAGAAACAGGGAAACATGGTCCAAAAAATGGGAATAAGATAAAGCTCCAGAAACTGACCCTAATTAAATGGAAATATATGAACTACCTGACAGAGAATTCAAAATAATTGTCATAAAGATGTTCAACAAATGTTCATAAAGAGCTCAGGAGAACAATGCACGGAAAATTTTAAGAAAGAGATAGGGAAAAAAGTTAACCGAAAAGAAATCTTAGAGCTGAGAAAAACAGTAAATGAATTTTAAAAAAAACAGTAAAAGAGATTGGACTAGATCAAGCAGAAGAAAGAATCGGCAAACTCAAAGATAAGTCATTTGAAATTATCCAGTCAGAGGAGCAAAAAGGAAAAAGAGTATAAAAGAATGAAGAAAGTTTGAGATTTGTTAAGAAATCAGATCAGTATATGGATTGTGGGAGTCCCATAGGGAAAAGGGAGATAGGAAGGGAGGGAAA